GAAAGAAAGTATAGTAAAAAGATCCCAAGCTCTTTCCCATAAAGAGTATGCTCAGTTCCTGCAGGATAACGTGCAGTACAAGCATCCTGTGACGTGGACTTAGCAGTTGGTCCTGCCTGGTTCTAGCTGAACGTCTTCTCTCCATATTAGGCTTTCCCAAACACTGAGCCCCTTGTTTCCTGGAGTATAACTTGATCTCACAGTAAGCATAAAGTGAACTTTCAAACGGGATCTTGTTCCATGTTTATCAAACACTAGTAAGCGCCGTGTTGTGTCAGGCGCTTACAATGGTTAATCGTCATGTTTTGTGTAGAATGTGTACTCTGACACCTAATAAATAAAAGTAGAACAACAAGGAACACTGGGTGGCTGTATTCACTCTCACGTCTTAAGAAGGTTTTTCTCCTTTTTAACAACTCGAGCTGAGTGATCTGAATCATGGTGTTCCCTTCACAAAGCTCGCTGTAACGTGGGGCAATCTCTGAGCGTTTACATGGTATTGGACAGATTAACTGAGAAAAGTGTGTACCTGGAAAACACAGAAGATACACCCAAGTTTAATAATGATGTCCCCTGAGTGCTAAAATACTCCGTGACTGTCATATTTTTATGACAAAGTTTTGTATTATCCAATTGGCCTAAAGTTAATCAAAACTTATTGCAACTTTGAAGAAAATAAGTCTAATTTCCAGGCAAAAATAGGCAAAACAAATTGAAATGAAAGTCTGGAAAAAGTAATATAGAACTTTAGGAAGGCTTAGCTCTAGAGAAGCATTAGAATGAGAACATGGTTTTTCCAATTTCTTTTTTTTATTAGTACATTTTACCATACATAGTGAGTCCATTCTTTGGGGGAAGGTGTCCACATGTATAACATATCTAAGCTCTTTTTATATCCCCTTCTCTTCTCCTTCCATCTCTCTCTTCCCTCTTTTGATCCCCTTCCTTTTGAAAAAAACCTATCTCCCCATTTCCTATTTTCTACCTTTCATTTTGCTCTTTATACTTGGGGTTTCCCCTATAAGATAAATCATGTCATATCCAAGCTTTTTTGTCTAATTTATGTCATTCAACATTATGGTTGAGGCCAAAATTTTACTTTTTCTAAAAATGGACAGTTTGCTCTTGAGGAAATACATATAATTTTTAAAAGTTTCTTTTAACAAAAAAATATGAAAATAAGCATATTATTTACATTTGCCTTTAGTGGAATAACCATTCTAGTGGTGAAAGGTGGGAAGTGGACGATGGCATGGTAAAAGAATCAGAAATTATATTCCTGCCATGCCAGCCCCGCCCCCGGGGCACGCTTGAGGACGACTGAGACTGGGCATGGCAGTGCAAGCTTGTAATCCCAGCACTGGGGAGGCTGAAAAACAGGAAAGATTACTACGAGTCCAATCTGTGTAGTGAGACCCTGTACTAAATACGAGAGAGAGAGAGAGAGAGAGAGAGAGAGAGAGAGAGAGAGAGAGAGAGAGATCTTATTCCCTTTCTAGCCTGCTCTGTCAAAGTAGATTTAGAAAACTTCATCCAGGCCTTAGGAAGTGAACATTGGTAATAAGAAAAGCAAGCTCCAGTTACCAGTCTATCACGGATTAACTCCTTCAATCCAAGGGTAACTATCTGAATTTGTCACCTACAAACACGTCCTAGGTGGCAGCTTCCTTGGCATCTTTACCAGAAAGCGCTACAGCAAACACAGTGCTTGAGGGCAGAAAACTGCGAAGCCCAGGACAGGAGCCACATCCAGGGCGCTGCTCAGCCCTGCACTAACCCCTCCACAAAATACACAATGATTTTTTCAACACAGGAAGTTTAAAGTGAATTACATGATACATATTTCACAGGTAGCAGTGAAATTACCACTTTCTAAGCAAAAAAAGAGACAGAAGTCCTGGGAAAGTAGTTGATATTTCAATGGCTGTTTCCTCAGCACTTCACCTTCTGCCAACAAGTACCCCTTGAAGAACCATCCATCTCTTTTGTTTCATACAATTTTAATTTTTTTAAAAAAATTGATTCTTCTAAGTTTATTTATATATTTTATTTGGACCATCTACCTCTTAAAACTTTTAGTGAAGATTTTGATTCCCAAATTCATATTTCCTATGACATTTTTTCTTGTCTTTTGTTTTCATTTATTACCTTCTTAAAAAATAAACATTTACTTGAAAGAGAGTATAGCAGTAACTGATATGACATTAGAAGCAGTATGCTTTTAGAAGATCAGAATGACAGGCAATCCAAACATAGCCCTAGTGTATACAAAATAGTTAGCATAGATATATAGCTACTTCCTCCCAGTTCAATGAGAAAAAAGCTTTGAACTAATAGCATTTAGACAAGATATCATGTCTGTGTCTTGCATTATAAGTAACTACTACGAAGACAACAATATGCAATGCATTAACTATTGTAACTGTCCTACTAACCTGTTTGGAGAGTGTCTCATTTCTATTTCTCTCTCAGTGAAATTAATTTTAAAAAATAAAAAAAAAATTAAAAGCAAATTCGTATTTCCAAATGAAAATGAAAATATGAATAGACTTTTAGGAAAGCAATTCATCAGTAACAAAGCTCATTTAAAAGTTTGTACTTTTGTATAGTACCACTTCTAGTAATTTTTCCTAAGGACATAATCTGAAATGTGACTAAAAATTAACAAAGGTGTTTATTGCACTATCTTACATTAATAGCCAGCAAGCATCAGACTGCTATTCTTCGCAAGCTCTGTTTGCAGTGTTGACCTGTGGGTGCTATTGCACTGATTTAAAAAAAATCTTTTGCTAGATGATAAGCACTATAGTTTATGCCAAAGACCTGTTTTCCTACAAGAACTCTGAGATGTTGGTACATGCTAAGCAGAGAGCACCTATGTAAAGAGGCCTCAGTAAAACTCGTGTATTGAATTTCTGATTCACTTCTCATGAATGTAGCACTCCATTTAAGGAGACATGATTCATTTCTGGAGGAATTAAATGCATCCTGCGTGGCTTCTCTGCAAGAGGAATATTGGAAATTTGGTCCTAGTTTCCTCTGGACTTCATCCCATGTGTCTTTTCCTTTTGTTGGTTTTGCTTAGCCATTTTTTTACCTTAATAAATCTTGCTGATGTTCATAAATATATGTTAAAACAAGGCAGTTTTAGCCCAAAAATTTATGGTGGTTGTGAAGCCCTGGCCCAAAAATAAAAATGGAAATAATGTTAATACTCATGTAATAAGAAATTGGCTAAGCAAATTTGAGTATATCAAGCATTTGATTTTTTTTCAACAATAAGTTGTGTTTATGAATTGTTTTACAATATAAAAGCAAAATATGCATAAATTAAAGGTATAAAAATGTGAAAAGTGATAGTTTCTGACAAACTGTGGTTTGTAAAACCAGTCTTGCAACCTGAGCTCAATTTGAACATAAAGATTAGGAAACAAACAGTCCTTGGACCTGAGATAAACACATGTTGGGCCATGAAGGGACATGGACTTGTTTGGCTCCAACTCTGCCTATTTTGGTGTCTGCACCATAGAAACAATCCAATAACATCAGAACTTATAGCAGTTTCTAAATGCTAACAGATGCAGGCTGTGTTAGCTCAAAGGTTAAGCAACTTCTCCAATGCTCTCTGAAGCTGACAGATAATCCCAACACTGGGATGGAACTTGGAATGCCCATGGGATAAGGGGATGACTTTCAGTGACGCCTTCCTACGTATGTTCAGTCACTGCAAATAATTTGCATGTGCTTCGCAAGGAACATAACTTGAATAAACAGCTTTTCAGAAACTCTACAGTTAAGATGCACTTGCTTTGTACTGTGAAGGAATGATGAAGCTTCAGAAAACATCACTCTCTAAAAAAATGTTTGGTCACAAATCTCTGGTATTTTATTTACTTACAGGTTATGCATAAGTTAGAATTATTGTGCAAATTTAGAATAAACTGATAATTTTATACAACAAAAGAAAGAATCTAATCCCCTAAGGAAAAGCAAGTTTGTTATTTCCATCTGTCTTTAATGATTAGCTTATCAGAAGACTAAAGTTCATTAATGTATCATTATCTTTACTGAAAGCTTATTAAAGCAACATATTTAAAAGAAGATTATGGTTAAAAAAAAAAGATAATTACAGAACAGCACTTTATCCCTGCATATGTCTGTATGTTCATTCTAAGTATTTTATCCTATTCTTTTTCACTCTCCTGGAAATAATAAAGAGCTAACTTGTAGCCTAAGTATAATCCACATGTGACCAATAGAATCCTAATAACTTGCAATCATATTACCAGGGAGCATTAAAGTTTCATGTATGCACTTAGTACTCACAAAATACAAGCCTATGAACTTATATCAAATATAACACATGAATGTACAAAATAAAATTGGTGAATGAATTAAAGTAGGAATTTCCTTTACTATCAATACTTAGAATTATTTGGTTTAAGGATTAGGTAATTTTTACCTATTCTTTTCACTTCTTTCATTAGATGAAAAACAGAGATAAAATGTAAATCCATATTTCTATGTGCTATATATAGAAGGCCAAAGACATAAGTCCTGGGAGGAGGATAAAAATTCTATATCTTAGTATTTTAGATGTCCACAGAGCTCAGGTAGCCATGTGGATGCCATTTCTAGTATTACTAATAATTGAAAACTGACTGTGCTAATAAAATATTTCACAGATGCTCTGTCTTCTTCCTCCTACACACCACCAGATCACATTCAGCAAAATTTGGTTCTTTAGAAAAACAATGTGAATTATGTTAGTAGGAATTTTAAGACTTGAGGATAAAATTAAGTTCATTCTTTAATCTACTTTCACAGTTTTAATAACCACCACATCCATTCCCTCCTGCTACCTTACCTTTACTTGAAAATCAAGGCCCATCTCCACACATTTGTCTATGGTCTCCACCCACAACACATTCTTCCTGAGCTCCACTTGCCCAGGGTATAACAAACTTACAATGTCAAAAGGGAATAACATTATCCTTTTCTTTCCACTCACGAAAGCATACTGGAATTCAAAGAAATGTAACTGAGTGATTATGGAGCTAATCCTAGGCCCACTTCAATTATTAAAAAGTTAAATAATTCTTAGACTTTTTTCTTTTGAATATTAAAGAAAATATGCCTTGTGAAAAACTCAATGATCACAATACAATAATATGATTATTACAGACTGAGAACACCCAGTCTCCACCACTGGGACAGAATAAAAGACATTGCTCAGTGTTGTGGGAGGTGCTTTCTAATATTCTAACTAAGCCACAGACTCAAGCATAGCTGATGTCTTAACTTTATTTATATGCCTCAGATTCCAGTAGTACTTTGCACTGACAATCTTTTTATTAAAAAAAATGAACAGGAAATCTTTAATCAACATTCCCTCACCTTCAAAATTCAAATGGCATGCAACCTAATAAAAACTGTAATGTATGGTTGATAAGCAGCTCCAAAGAGACATCAAAAATCAACACTATCCTACATTGGGCAGATCACAGAGAAAAACACGCCCTGCTACAAAGGAAGGCAAGAAGAAAATATCCAACACTAATACGTCTTTCAAGCCCAGCTGTGACCAGACATGGTGACAGGGAATCCTCAGAAGCCTGAGACGCACAAGGCATCTGCATCTACACTCGTGCTCTCATGCACGGCTTCCACTAAGGGCTGATGACATGGAAGGCAGCAGGGGCTGAGAGGAACCACTTCCATGATAGATATTAGCAGGCTCTGCCTCAATTTAGAGGTAGAACGTAGGAATTTGAGGTCTATCTGCCATGCAGACACTGCAGAGTACAAGTTGGTGAACTGCTGCTAGCATGAAGTATCCTGAAAGCCATTCACTTAAGATTATGGACTTGAGGTGCATCCACCTACCAAACTAAATATCATTCAAGTTTCTCCTTTGTGGCACGGCAGTACTCCACTGTATACAAATACCACATTATCCATTCATCTCCTGATGAGTATGTGGGTCATTTTCAAGATTTAGCTACTACAAATTATGCTGCTGCAAACCTGAATATGCATATATTACTGTAATACAATTTTTTAAATTTCTTTGGGGGAAAAAAGCCTAGAAGGCAACAGCTGTGTTAATGGAACTTCTGTTTTTAGATTTTTTTGAGGAAGCTCCACACCGATTTCCATAGTAGTCATACCACTTTGAACACAAACCAGCAATGGAAAAGGGTTCCTTTATCCCCCACAGTCCCACCAGCACTTATTGTTGGTCAATTTATTAATAAATAGCCATTCTGTTCAGCATGAGGGAAAATCTCAGCCTTGTTTTAATTTGCACTTCAGAAATGACAAAAATGATGCTGATTGTTTTTTCATATATTTATTTGCTGTTTGCACTTCCTTATCTGAAAAATGTGTACTCATTTCAGAGTGAAATGTCTATTCATTTTTGGATTATTCTTTAAATTTAGAAGGATTTATTTTTGTTATGGTTTTCTTGAGGGCTTTATATATTATAGGTATCAGTTTTTTGTATTGGAGAAGCTGGTAAAAATTTTCCACTCTGTGGGTTTTTCCCTTTACTGCATTAATGGTTTCTCTTGTGTGTAAAAAAGACAATTTTTAATTTAGTATGATCCCAGTTGCTGATTCTT